GTCACTGGAGCCCTTGCCCCCCTGCAATATTTAAAGCAATTCAGACCTTAGCAAGCAGGTGTTCCACACTCAGACACACACACACACACGCACGCACACATTCACATTCCTGCTTGCGCACACAGACGTACCCATTCGCACGCACACACTCAGATCGAGAATGGTCATCCTGAGGCGGCCGCCTTATCGTGCATACTTGTCCAACGACATATACAGCAAGGCCTGCAATCCGATCTGAAACGTAAAGGTCAGGCGTTGACGTGCTTCTGTATCGCACGATGCTGGCTGCATTTGCAGCACCGTTGATGACAGACCCCTACTCAAATGCCTATGAGCCCTTCTGGGCTGCACAAATGGAACTGCATGGGTGGGGTGGCACCGGTTGCATGCCGGCTGGCGAAGCTGGCAAACAATCTCCACGAGTCCACGAGTGGGTGAGCAAGTTGTTCCGTGCTCGATGGAGCGCAAGCCAGCAGTGGCACTTCGCAGGATCTCATTCATTGCAAACCCGGCCTCCTAGCCAAGCACGCGTCCATTGCAAAACACGACCCTCGAAGCGGTGCTTGAAGAGATGCAGACGGGGGAAGGCTGCGTGCTCGAAGGTCCATATCCCATGAACTTGACCAGGTCAACGCCTATTTGCCATTCTGGATCACCAAGCATTGCTGGTCAACAGGGGCCCTGTCGGGTCCGTCATGGCTGTCAGGGTGGCCGCCAAAACGAGTCTAACTCAGTCGAGATCGGGAGCCTGGCGAACCGCAGTGGCTATGGTAGCATCCTGTCGCAGAGCTGACCGAAGACGGAAACGAACTGCTGGTTTGCTTTTCGAAGCGCACAAGCTAACAGACTGATACGGCAAAGGGTTTAGGGCCATGCAGCTCAGCTCCGGAAAGTCTGCGAAAGCTGAGCGTCACGGTGGTGCACCAATTGTAAAATGCAGTGCTGGCTTGCAATCACATTGGGCTGATGCTATGGCCTTTGAACTGACTTATCGATATCGAAAAAGACAGGGAGCATGACGAAAGGTAATTAACGACGCCAAAGAAAGAACCGGAAAAGCGCTGACCAGGATGTGTGGCAGCATCCACGGTACTGTCACTAGTTTGCACGGTTGCATGAGGAGTAACGGTCATGAAGAGCATGCGGGGTACGTCACTTGGGAATCTTTCTCGGCCAGAAGTGAGCAGAACGAGAACGGAAACGACGAATGTGCCCGAGGTGAGGATGTTGGAGCAAAACATGCTAGCAGATGCTGGAAGCCTCGGCATAACCAGACACATTCACGACTGAACAACATCACCTGAGAAATGCACCCTGCGGGAGGTTCTAGATGACTTGGATGGTTGGTGCGGGCCATCAACGTCCAGACTTTTCTTAAAATCAGTGCTGAGGTGTGACACTTGCCGTACTCAGTGCACTCCACAACCTAAAGCTTAAACCTCAGTTCGAAACCGCAATGTAGACTCAGTTCTGCAAAACAACAGGAAAAACACTGCGCACACGCACCCACCCACATACAAACACACGCAGACATAAACTCCACTGGACTCCTCTTCGTAGCGTGAAGGGGTTTCAGAAAACGAGGGTACTTCTGCATGTACGGGCCGTACTGGGAACCCTTTCCTCTGAGACTCGCATCCATCACTTATACTATTTTGGGGGTTCCTTGTTGTAATCATAGTGCAATACCCTAAACCCTAAACCCTAATGTACCCCAAGGCCCTGTTCTAAATACTTGCATGCAGAAATCCGCCCTCCCAACCTGAGCGACTTGAAAAGCTTCTGCGCTTTTTCTGTCGCCTGCAAGGCGCTGTATGGGTAATGTAGGGGCCTTAATAATTTGAATGGGATTTGGCGTATCTTCTACTATATAACTATTGTAGTAAGGAGCCCCCCAAAATAGTATAGGTATTTATTGAAGCCCACATATTACACCACTTCAGGGTTTTCCGAGATTCAGGTTTAAGGTTTGCATGGGCTTGCGATTTAGGGTGTCGGATTCAACATCTCGACCATGAATACATCCGAACCCATAGACCGAGCATGAATCCTCTAAGAGCTAACATGGGATTTTGGGGTGTGCTATCGTATCATCAAGCGAGGCTAACACTAAGGGGATGCCTTTTCTAAGTATTCCGGTCCCTTTTTTTGCATACCCCTGAACCCATGGCCCCTGAAGCCCCGAACTCCCGAGCCTGATCCTAAGCTCCTACACACTGCAGCTTTCACCCCTGAGCTCCTAAACCCTACGCCCTAGAACTCGTATGTAGTGAACTGTGGTGACACTCATGAGAGTCCTAAATCCTAAACCCTAAACCCTAAACCAAGCCAACTCCAAAGGATTCCGCGTCCACGCCTCGGCCTTATTCATCGCCTTGAGCTTACCCACCAGGGTCTTGGCGGTGTCATTCATGTCCTGCACAAGGTCGAGGGTTGAATGGTCAGGGAGTTGGGAGCCAGGGTTGGGGCTTTAAGGGTGTAAGTTGAAGGGGTTGGGGTGTGTGAGGGGGTAGTTGGAATTCAAGGGCTTTGGTGGGAAATCAAGAACACAAGTAGTATCCAATTTAAGGGACCAGTCGCGAATATCACATGTTAGTTGGAGAAACCGTCAGAGACAGACAGCCAGCCTGCAATGAGCACCTCTGTCACTCGAAGCCTTCAGGGGATTACCTCGAAACCTCGCAAACCGCAGATCCTAAACACTGGACCTGGAACCCCTTAGACCCTGAAATTCTTAGACGACCGAAACCCTAAGCCCATCCTTCAGATCATCCTCATCCTTCTCTTGCTCAGACGCTTCTGAGGAGCCGGAGGATGAGGACCTCAACGCTCAACCCTGCCCCTCCCTATATATTCAATATGGGTAGTTCCCTAAATTACGGTCCCCTTTTGGGGTCCTTATAAAAAGGATCCCAAAAGGGACCCTAATTTCAAAAGCTACCCATATATGGCGGTCGGTCATCAGCGGTTTGCAAGGGCTCTTTTATGGGGTTCCAAGTGTAGGCAAGTTGCTTCTAGTGTCAGTCTGCTCTTTCCTTCTCTCGTCGTTCTTTGCACATTAACGGATTCATCTTCGTTCTCCTGGATTCTCAGTCATGCTCCGAAGTATATGCAATTGCTTATGTCTTCTCGTATTTGCCTGTTCTTAGTCAAATTGGTCCTTCTGACTTTGGATTACCGTTGATGGACAAAATCCTGCATGACCTTATATACCTAAACTATGGGATTTATGTTATGGTACTATACTATATTTGGGTATGCAGAATTTTGTCCATCAGCCGTAGGACCTATGGGCAGCCTTACGCTAGAAAGCCATAGTTCGTTGAAATCCGCCTGGGATGACTTCCGCGTACTCTAGCCTGGATGTTTGGGGGCTACCTTAAGAACCCCAAAACCCCACTTTTTTGTAGGTTCTTATTATAAGCCCTAATATGGGATTTATAGGGACCCTACAAAAAAGTAGGTTTTGGGTTCTTAAGGTACACAGCGGATGAGTGCCAGACTCTTCGCTGTCGCTTTCAGACGCCGATTCGCTGTCTGATGGCCTGCTGTCGAACTGGGAGTTTCCGAAAATTAGGGTACCTTATTTGGGGGTCCTTATAACAAGGATCCTACTATTTGGGGGTACTATATTAGGGTCCTCTATTTTCGGAAACGCCCAACTGTGGAAAGCCGACAGCTGAACTCGAATCGCAAACTGTTGCTTTCAGACTCAAGTGTCGACACCCTCAAACCCTCCGGCTGCGAAGGATGTTAGGAAGCTCTGCCCAGCGAACACATGGGCTCAGTGCGGCACGCTGACGGCGCGGCAGACTGAGGTTTCGGATCGTCATCGCTGTCCTGCAGCCCAACTAGCGGATTTCCGACAAAGTTAGCTGCCCGGATACTTCCCGGTGGCAGTCCTCGTCGCCGGCTGCAGCTGCCGCAGCTGCCACCTGGAAAGACATCGCTCTCAAGTACATCCCTCTGCGAACTCCGGGAAAATGAAGTCTGTGGTCTCATGCGCTCAAGGAGAAATATGCCGGCTTGGCCATATCCGCTTCGTCATCCTTAGTGGCTCCAGAATCTCTGAACCCCTCGGCTTCCACCACTCGCCGTGAGCTGAGGCTGGAGCGCCGGTCTTCACAATTGGAAGGGCTTTGGCCCTGAGATGAACAGCCCACAAAAGCACGCTCCCTTCTCAAGGACCATCCGAGGTGCTTGGGACTCTTCTTTTGATTCTTCTGGCCCTTCGTCGGGGAAGATGACTTCGCCGGCCTAGCACGTTTAGGGCGATTGAAAGGTTCAGCACATGATCAAGAACTATCTGAAGTCGTTTCTGCCGCAACATCTCAGACCGATCTTGGATCCACGCGGTGCTGGCTGCTTCCGCGCTTGTGGTGGAGTCTTCTGAATCCTCTACGGGCTGGTGCTGGGCAGACGATCCCAGCAGCTTTATCCCAGCGATGTCCTGGCCGCACTTGCCTTGTCCTTGACCTCTGCTTTCACTTCTTCTCTCTCCTGGGCGTGGGAGCCCTTCCAAGATTATGAGCACGCGAAACACAAATCGCCCAAAGCAAGCACATTTTCAAGAAAGTCAAAGTCACCTCCTTTCTCTTCTCGGACTTTTCAGTCTTCGCTATATGCGCTTCCAGCTGCCCTCTGGCATGGGCTTCATAGGGTTGGTCCATGTCCTCCGCAGCCAAGCATAGCACCGCCCAAACACCGAAAACTACAGCGAGCCTGAAAGTCGTGGGACTGGTCCCAGAAGGTGTCATCGACGACCTGGGACGAACGTCACCAAATAACAGCACTGACCACAACTGCAGCAACGACAAGAGCACCACCACCACCACCACCACCACCAACAACAACAACAACAACAACAACAACATTGCAGGCCTTTCCATGCAGTGGACGCCTCCGAGACCGTCCTGGCTGCGCGAGCCGCAGCAGCCGTGCTGCCGAG